GGTGCCTGACACCTCACTTTTCTTTTTTCACAGGTAGGGAGGAGCTGTATTTCTTTGGCAAGAATCTGGGTCCGAGAGGAGCCAAGGCTACTTTGGTCATCCTTTTCATCATGGGACTCCTCTTCCTGGTTACCACGGTGATTCTCTCCATCAGACTGCGCTCTGCAAGGAGGCAGAGGCCTTATCAGGAAGTCCAGTCTTGTGCGCTCCCCACGGATGCTTTGTGAATCATTTGGTTTTCCTCAGCAGGAATAGATGAGGTTCCACAGCTGGCTGGATGGTGGTCAACAGGAAAACTGGACCAAGGCATTGTTCACCAAAGAAGGCTGACAACTGCGTCTTGTGTCAGGCTTCCGATCCTCTGGAACATTATCCAAAGCAATTTGCTTTTATTTATTTATTTCTAAATGGGCTGTGAATAATCCTCAGGTATAAAATGCCAAAAAAGGAGAATATGTGGGACCAAGGAAAGCCAACACCGAGTCTGTTCTCTGAACAAATTTGCTGAAGTGGGAGACTCTGTGAAAGATATTTTCATATTCCATCTTTCATAATTTTTAGATTAAACAGTGCTTCCTTGGTTAATTGCCAAAGTTTCTAGACAAATAACTTCTAGAAAAAGCTATAGTGCCTTAGACATTTTTCTAACTGGAATAGCACTGATTTTTCAACACTGTTACATAAGATGCATCCCTTAGTTTTCACAGGGAAAACAAGTTTCTAAGGAGTTCATGGAAGTGTCTAAGTTAGTATCTGCCGATTGAATTTTTTGGAGTCTTTAATCAACTCTCCTGGCCTTTCTCCCCTTAATATAAATAACCTGTGCGTTGTTTGCTAGACAAGGCAAAGTGATAAGGTTTTTTTTTTAATTGCTGCTGTTTTATGCAAACCTGTAGAAATACTTGAATGTTTACAATTCACTTCATTTTATATGTTTTTACAATATGTTTCCCTGGCAATGTCTGCATTTTTAAAAATCAACTAGAGAATTTCTGTTTCTGTTCCAGACTGCAGGAAGGCTGGAATCTGTGAAGGAGCAGGCTGGGTTTTCTCACTGTGAGTCAGAGTTTAGTGTGAGCTCTCAGCAACAGGGAGAACTTCAAGCCTGGGCTTGAATCTTCAGTCTCATCTTTTCATTCAGTTAGGGGGGCTCTTCCCAGGTCTCCATCTTCTATGAAAGAAGAACATCCTCAGTATTTGAGAAGCACCAGGAGGAATTCATCAATGCAGCTTAGTGGTTGGGAGAAGAGATCTTTCAAAATCCTAGACAGGTTGCTTCTTCAACATATAGTCCTTGAGAGGAGGAGAAAAAAGGAAAAGGAAAGGCGAGAAAAAGAGTCTCAGTGGCAGTTTTTTAAACCATTAAGTTAGCTTTGAAGATAATTTTACAGTTTTCAAGGCTCACATACAAAAATAAAATATTGAGCAACTAAACTCAACCCATTATGAGGCAATCCACCCTTTCTGAAGGCATGCCTGGACGTTAGTATAAGATTGATAAAAGCAAGTTGTTTATTGCTAGACTGAGAAATTGCCCTTAGCTCAGAGCAAGCTGCCCTGGGTTGCCAATGCCAAATGAGTGATACTAGAACATCTGCCTTAGCAGTGGATCCTTGAATATCTAGGTGAACGAGTAGGACTAATAAATACTCTGGTGGTGGGACCTTTCACACTTTCTCAACTTCATCTTGGTGAGGGGAAATGGGTAATTTGATAGAAGCTATAGTCTTACATAAGACAGGATGCAAATGCTAAAAATTCTGTTTGTAGTTTACTTGAATGTCACATCAACACAGTATCCAAAAGATTTTGAATTCCAGCCTACCAATGTGATTTTGTAGTATATGCACTACGGTTTTCATATGTGTGTGGGCTGTATAATTATATAATAATAATTATGATAAATGCCTTATTTATTGCTCACCTTTCATAAAACAACAAATTATTTAGTTTTTTTCCTTTTCACTTAGTTGATTTTTTAAATGAGTTTGCACTATTTCTCTTTTTAATAAAGTTTCACATATCATAAAATGGCTAGTTGCATGGGGTTTTTTTTTCCATTCAAAATTACCTTTTGTTAAACTGGGAGGAGGAGAGGTTAAAAGAAAATTATCCTTTAGATATTTAAGGAGTTTTGACTAATTTATTTTTGGTACTGGGGGTTTAATCCAGGGGCACCTAAACACTGAGTCACATCCCCAATCCTTTTTAATATTTTATTTATATACACCATCTTGCTAAGTTGCATAGGGCCTCACTAAGTTTCTGAGGTTGGCTTTGAACAAAAGATACTCCTGCCTTAGCCTCTCAAGTTGCTGGGATTCCAGGTATGCGCCACCGGGCCAGGCTGTGATTATTCTGAAGAAGAAAAAATAGAAAGCAATGAAAGCTTTTATACAATGTTCATCAGTTGTCCAGCACCGTGATGGCATTTTACATGTGTTAACTCACTGGATCCTTGCCATAATCACAAGAGATATGTATAACCATATTACACATGAGAAAGTGGAGTCACAGGAGGGTCAAGTAACTTCCTCCAAGACCCACAGCTAGTAACCTGTGGTGACAGTATGCCAAAACATTTAACAAAGGGACCTAACCTAATGCAGTCTACTGAGGAAGGCTTTTCTGGGCACTGAGCTGAGAACAGGAGTTGTGAGAGTGAGACAGGCAAAGCTGCCACTGTGGGTAGTGTTTTGGACTGGGGAAGGCCTGAAGAAGGCCAAGCAAGGGGACTAAATAACTTGAAGAACTGAAAGAGGAGGAGTGAATATAGTGGATAGGTAGTGAGTGGTCCTGCTACGGAATTTGAAAAGAAGAAAATTTTTTAAAGTACTAAGGATTGAACCCAGAGCCTCCCACATGCTGGGCAAGCTGTCTACCATCTTTTATTTTATTTTTATTCACTTATTTTTGAGATTGGTACTTGCTAAATTGCCCAAGCTGGCCTAGAACTTGGGATCCTCCTGTCTCAGTTTCTGGAGTAGCTGGAACTATAGACACCAGTCACCACACCCAGGCAGAATTTTGGATTTTAACCTAAAAGAAAATGTACTTTTAAGTAGAGGAGTAATATGATGAGATTAGAGCTTTAAAAATCTCCCTCTGGCAGCCGTGGGGGAGAATGACTTGGTGGGTTTGGGGAGACATTTTTGTATGTAGTTAGGAGAAAGGATGATGGGCTGAATTGGGATGTTCCATTCAGGTGGAGAGCTGTCAGATTTGCTATATTTAGAGAAGCAAGAGAATTTGGAAATCAGTTGTGGCAGGTGGGAGAGGTAGGTGAGTTAAAGATGGC